CCACTGAGCTACAGGTGCCAAGCCTATTTTCAGTTTTTTGAAGAACTTTTATACTATTCTCCATAGTAGTTGCAGTAATTTACGTTCCCTCCAACAGTGTATGAGGGTTCCCTTTTCTCTACATGCTTGCCGGCATTCGTGATTATCTTTTTAAGAAAATCTGTTTAACTAGGGTGAGATGACATCTCATAGTTTTGATTTGCATTTCTCTGGTGACTAATGATGTTGGTGACTAATGAGCATCTGTTCTTATATCTGTTGTCCATTTGCATGTCTTCTTTTGAGAAATATCTCTTCAGAGACTTAGGCCATGTATTTTTTTATTTTTTTAAGACAAAGTTTCACTTTGTTCCCCTTGATAGAGTGCCGTGACGTCACAGTGCACAACAATCTCAAACTCTTGGGCTTAAGCGATTCTCTTGCCTTAGCCTCCCAAGTAACTGGGACTACTAGCACCTGCCCCAATGCTTGATTATTTTTTGTTGTTGTTGTCACTGTTGTTTAGCAGGTCCAGGCCAGGTTCGAACTTGCCAGTCCCAGTGTATGGGGCCGGCACCCTAACCACTGAGCACAGGCACCGAGCCCTTTGCTGATTTTTAAATCAGACTATTGATTTTTTCCTATTGAGTTATTGGAGCTTCTTACGTATTCTAAAAGGTTGGGGTTTTTTTTTTTTTTTTTTTTTTGAGACAGAGTTTCACTTTGTGGCCATGTGTAGATTGCTGTGGAGTTATGGCTCACAGCAACTTTAAAACTCTTGGGCTCAAGTGATTCTCTTGCCTTATCCTGAGTAGCTGGGACCACAGGCGCCCGCCACAACGCTTGGCTATTTTTTAGAGATGGGGGTCTTGCTTTTGCTCAGGCTGGTCTTGAACTCGTGAACTCAGGCAGTCCACCTGCTTGGCCTCCCAGACTGCTAGGATTACAGGTGTGAGCCACAGCGTCTGGTCTGGTTCTGTAAGTTAGTAATTTGTTGTCAGACGGGCAGTTTCCAAATATTTTCTCCCATTCTGTGGGTTATCTCATCCTTTGTTGATTGTTTCCTTTGCTGTACAGAGCTTTTTAGCTTGGTGTGATCCCATTTAGTTTCAGGCCTTAAATTGAAGTCTTTAATCCATTTTGATTTGGTTTTTGCTTATGGTGAGAGTAAGGGTCTAGTTTCCTTGTACATACCAATACCCAGTTTTCCCAGTACCATTTATTGAATAAGCTGTTCTTTTCTTTCTTTTTTTCTTTGAGACAGAGCCTCAAGCTGTCCGCCTGGGTAGAAGGCTGTGACATCACAGCTCACAGTAACCTCCAACTCCTAGGTTCAAGAGAGTCTCCTGCCTCAGCCTCCCAAGTAGCTGGGACCACAGGCGCTGGTTGCAGCTGTCATTGTTGTTTGGCGGGCCCGGGCTGGATTCAAACCCACCACCTTAGGTGTATGTGGCTGGCTCCTTAGCCACTTGAGCCACAGGCGCCAAGCCAGAAGCTGTTCTTTTCCCACTGTGCTTTTCTTGGCATTTTTGTTGAAGATAAGTTCACTGTCGATCTGTGGGTTTATTTCTGGATTTTCTATTCTGTTCCATTGGTCCATGAGTTTATTTATTTATTTATTTTTTTGAGACAGAGCCTCAAGCTGTCCCCCTGGGTAGAGTGCTGTGGCATCACAGCTCACAGCAGCCTACAACTCCTAGGCTCAAGCGAGTCTCCTGCCTTCGCCTCCTAAGTAGCTGGGAGGCACCCGTCATAACACCTGGCCGTTTTTTGCTTGCAGCCATCATTGTTGTTTGGCGGGCCCGGGCTGGATTCGAACCCATCACCTTAGGTGTATGTAGCTGGCTCCTTAGCCACTTGAGCCACAGGCACCAAGCCAGAAGCTGTTCTTTTCCCACTGTGCTTTTCTTGGCACTTTTGTTGAAGTTAAGTTCATTGTAGATCTGTGGGTTTATTTCTGGATTTTCTATTCTGTTCCATTGGTCCATGAGTTTATTTTTTATGCCAGTAGCATGCTGTTTTAGTTACTATAGCTCTATAATAGTGTAATTTGAAGTCAAATAATGTGATTCCTCCAGTTTTGTTCTTTTTGCTCAGGATGACTTTTGTTATTCT